TGAACTCATCAATGAATTAATCCACGGTGAGTATAGCGCCCCCATGAGCCAATCACCCTCCAAAAGTCCTACCTCTGTTGAGTGATGTTTTAGATCTAAACCATAACAAAACTGTAATCACAAGTTCAGTTCTTTCAGAGGGTTATGTAAGTCATCCAAGAAAATTATTGAACCTGAGGATGGTATAGAAATCTTGAACTTGTAGGCAAGCAAGACAGAAGTGTGTCTGGCATGGAGAAACCAGGACTTTTACCTGGTATCTGAAGGGCATTCTGCAGACTGGGCCCCCTCACCTGCGAGGTCTCTGTTAATTCTAGGTTAAGTACTGTATTTCAGAATTGAATAGAACACCCAATCCGTGTTGGAAAATTGGTGATGGAATATCGTGCTAGACAGAGGCTGGGAATCCGGGGAACAGAACAAGAAGAGAGTCCTACTTCATGCTAGAGTCAGAATTCCTCCCAGGGGACATTTGCTATTCTCTAGAACATTGTTTAGAGATTGCTAATATGAGTGTGTTATTTGCTGAAACTAAGACACATTAAATTTTAAAGCCTCTGCAGAATAATGGCTTTCAGAGCTGGCAACAGAGCAGGAGGCTGGAGCAGAGGGGAAACGGAGAGCTACTTACAGCAAGGGAGTCCAGCGTGAGAAGGGGACACTGGCATCTCATGGCATCTCAGCGTAAGGTGGGAGAAGTAGAGGCCAGGAGCTGATGGAGAGGAGCTCTCGAGCAAGGATTCCCTGTGGCTTGGGATGATCGAGAAAAGGTGCAATTAATACTCCTGGCTTGAGCACAGTTTGTGGCTTCACTTGGCAAGCTCACCACACACCAGTCTTTAGAATTGGCATGAAGAATTCAAGAAGAAAAGGCTATGTTGTGTGTTTAGAGTGTGCGGACCCTAGAAGATGGCAATGTGTGAGAATTTCTGTCTAAAAGAAGCTCAATCTTTGTCTCTACTTCACATCTTTCACAAAAATTAACTTAGGGGTGATATGAGCTAAACATGTGGGCTCAGAAAAATATCATCATGGACTTGGGGTAGAAAAACAATCTTTACAATGAGAAAATATCCTAAGCAAAAAAGAAAATGAAATGGATGTTACTCTTTACTGAAATTAAAAAGTTCAGTTCATCTAAAGATTCAGGAAGAAAATAAGCAGAAAAGTCCAAGTGTGGAAAAATACTCATAAAATACATAGCTGAGGAAGGTCTTGTATCCAAAATACATAAAGAACTGTTAGAACTCAGTAATAAAAAGACAAAGAAGTTTAAAAACATGGCAAAACATTGGAAGTGACACTTCAAGGCAAAGAAATACCCAAGGCCAAAGGTGCATTAAAGAATGTTCAGGATCATTATTCTTCAGGGAAACATTAATTGAAACATGATGACCAGGCATGGTGACTCACACCTATAATCCCAGCTACTTGAGAGGCCGAGGCAGGAGGATGGCAACTTCAAAGCCAGCCTGGGCAATTTAAGGAAACCCTGCCTCAAAATAAAAAATAAAAAGGGATAGGGATGTAGCTGAGGGTTAGAGCACTTGTCTAGCATGCATGAGGCAACTGGGTTTAATACCCAATACAAAAAGAAAACCAAAAACCAAAAAATGAGATATAACTCAAATCTTCCATTTGAATGGCCAAAATTAAAAAGACCCAAAACACCACATGTTGGCAAAGATAGGGAGAAAAAAACCATACTCATATTTTCCTGGGACAGAACATGAAAAGGTACAACCACTCTGGGAAAAAAAAAAAATAATTCAGTATATACACGCCATTATCTCCTTTACCTAAGGAAAAAAATTACATTCACAGAAAGACTTGTACACAGAGTCATAGCAGCTTTATTTATCAACAGGTAAAAACAAAAAATAACACAAAAGGCCCAAAACTGACTAAGACAGGATAAACAGAATATATAAATTTGCACAATGGTATAGTACATCACAATATAAAGGAATAAAACACTTACAAAAAGCAGTAACCTAGGTAAATGTCAAAGAAATTATGCTGAGTGAAAGAAGCCAGACTTAAAGACTACATACTGTATGATTCAACTCACAAATCTCTATATAAGGGGAATCTAATAGAAGATGAAACTAACTTAAGGTGAGTAAGAATACAGGTTACCTGTGGAGGTAGGGAGATTGGGTGAGGTAGGCTGGAGAAAGGTGAGAAAGATGAGAGTATATGAGTTCATCCATCTGTCAAATACATAGCCGACATTTAAGCAGTTTAATGCCTGTAAGTTTTACCTCAACAAAACAGCTCTAATAATACCACTAAGGGAGGCGGGTTAAAGGTACAGATTGTTGTAGGCAGCTGAGTTAGATAGAAATATTATGGGCAATCAGATAGGGCTGGGCCCTCCAGGGAGCCAGTATTAAAGACAAGATACCTTGCAACTAACTGCAGGAGAGACAGGTATTTCTGCTGTGGGCCAGACCTCAAGACAAAAGATGAAATAAATGCACCCACATACCTCCCTAGGGATGGACATCAGGGATTGATATTCTAAATAGGTAGCAACCACTTTGAAAAGGCCTGGAAGAGCCACTAACCCAGCCGCCTATAGGAAAGTCCTGTTCCGTATTCACGCCCACTTGCTATGTGACATGCTTCCCTATTTGATCCTGATATAACTGATTTTACCTGAACAATTATACTTGTAATCTTATTGGCTGACCATAGTTTTGTCCCACCTCATGCACACCTAGCGATTTCCCATTTTTCCCCCAACTTGGGCCCACCTCACCTCGTGGATTTGCTCTATAAAAATCCAGGTTCCTGGGCAACCCATTGAGGCCCTCTTCTGCCCCTCTCTCGGACAGAAGCTTTCTTTCCCTCAATAAATATATTCTGCTCTTAACCTCCATTGTTCCTAAAATTCATTATTCGATTTTAGAGAACACGAACTCATCCCAGATATCTTTCAGGTTGGGAATTTCTTTCCCCTATATCAAGACCACATAATAAAGGCAGCATGTTGATAATTTGCAAAGCTGGGCAATGGGTATTCAGGAATACATTATACTCTCATTTTATAAATGTTTAAGTTTCCAAAACAAGTTTTAAAATGTGCTGGAGTAGTGAGCTGCACTTTCACTTTTTTTGTTGTTTGTAAAACTTTTTAAAAGGGGAAACACCAGAACCAAGCACCCTGTTTGCCGTGTGAGCTGTAGACTATTCTAGAAGTGTCATAGACGCGGGGGAGGAGTGTGGCAGAGAAAGGGAACGGGAAAGACTGTGGGTGGAAGACATGAAAAGATCAAGGGGGCACTGAGCTCCTGTTTAACCAACAGGAGCAAAAAGGTGGGAGAAGAGTGTTGTCTTGGGATGGGTGCTCAGGGTGCTGTGCCAGGGTCTAAAAGAACCCTGGAAGGGACCTTTTCTGCTAGGATCGTGCAATGGATTGAATGTCTGTGTGCCCTCAAAATTCACCTGTTGAAACTCTAGTCATCATGTGATGGTATTTAGAGGTGGAGCCTTCAGAAGATAAAGGCTAAGGGCAGAGCCCGCATGAATGAGGTTAGTGCCCTGACGAAGAAGAGACCAGAGAGCAAGGGAGCTTGCTTTTTACCACTGGAGGACTAGGCAGCTCCACACGCCCGGAAGGGGCTTAGCTCTGCAGGATCCTGATCTCGGACTTCCCTGCCTCTAAAACTCTGAAAGATGAATATTTATTGTCTAAAACGCCCAGATTCTGGTAGTTTTGTTACAGCCACGTGAGCTAAGACAGGTCACCTGCCTCTCACCTGAACTGTGCCCCTGACACAAAGACCCACTGATTTAAACAAAAGCAAGTTTGTCTTGTAAGGACTGGAGCTGGAGGTGCCACTCAGAAAAGAAGCGCTTTCCTTCCTGGCCAGCAGGGTCCACCCGGGTTCTCCTAAGCACAGCAGCGGACAAGCTCAACAGCTTGTGAGGGAGTTCCAAGCCCCAGTCAAGCCCCCCAATAACTTATTCTCCCCATCCGGGTGATACCCATGGGATAAGGGGCATCATTCTTGTTTTCAAGGTGGGAGACAGCTCCAATAGAAACTAATTCTACTCCACTCCAAAGCCAATCACTGTGTCACAGGGCAGGAAACCCCTCAGACTGCATTCCTCCTGCTCTGTGTGCCCAGGAGCAGCCCAGGTGTGGTCATGGGAGCTCTCAGAACATTTTCCAGTTCCCCCAAATCTCCCCCAACTCTTCCCAGTGCCCCAGCTATTCCTTCATTGCCTCAAAATGAGCTGTCCCCCTCCTGGCCTGATCCTTTTATATGCCTGATGCCTTCCCAGCCGCAGGTCCCCTCCCCAAGAAGTCGCCCCAGTTAGCCTTTTGTCTGGGGCTTCTCCCTAACACTATGTATCATGTTTCCTTCAGGGCAACTGCACAGTTTAACGACGTTTTGTATGCCTCCCTCCCCCGGATGTGAGTTCCTGTGGTCAGGTATCCCAGGTTGCTAGTTGGAACTGCTTCTCATTAGCAAGCTCCCTTTTAAACACACATCAGGGGGGCTCACAGCTTTCCTGCTCTCCTGCAGTGATGTCTTAAACCTCAAGTCAACAGCATAGGCTCTGGGCAGGAAGGGAGAAGTCCTCTGCAGAACCACAGAAAAGCTTGGCACTGGTGAAGACTCCATTTCTCAGCTAGGCAGTGTCACGAATGTGCGCCTGCACGTAATCCTGTTAATGACGGGGAACGCAGGAGTGACTGGACAGCCACTGACTCCACAGCTGTCTTAATGCATGCCGGCTTTATGCACTCACCCTTCCTCTCGGGATGGGGCTGGAAGATGGAGGCTATTATATACGTACAGGAGAAAATAACAGACCAAAAGCCCTCCGTGTTTAAGATAATTAGACAAATGCCATGCTGAAATTACAGCCTTCTCTTTCAAAAGCTTGTTACAATGTTCGCTACAAAGCCCATTAAAACGCACACAGAATTTCCCCCACTCTCCCCACCACTCACATTAAAAGAATAATAAGTATTCAAAACGATATTCAAATCAAGTGGTAGATTTATTGTCTGTCTCTGTGATACAGTAGGTGAAAATATCTCAACTGCGTACATTCTAAGCCTCGTTTTGGTTTCTTGCCACACTGAAAGGCCTGTGTCAGGCACAAGAGTCAACAATCAGCGGACAAGGGAGCAGACTGCCGCGCTTCCCGTCTGTCGTGATTCGTTCCTCAGGCGCAGGGACCTCTTTATTCTTTCATAGCATCTTCCTCTTCTCAAACTCCTGCAGAAACAAAAGAAGGGGTAAGACTACGGGAGACAAAAAGAAAAGATCCAAACTACAGTTACGGTCAAAATGATTCTGAAACCTCTTATCTCTAAGTTAACCAGAGAAGGAAAACGTACCAAGATGAGGGTACACAAAATAACAGCCTTCTAATTAGTCTGTGTCAGCCTGAAGCTCACGAAGTTACATACACAGCCTCAACTTTATGTTTCCTAAACCCAAAGGCTGAGAGACAGTAAATAATTCTTTTTTTCACTACAGTATTATTACTACCGGGTGCTAAACTTCTTTGTGTTTATCTAAAAGTGCGACGTTTGTAGGTGAAGCACAACAGGCTCTATAATAAGGCGACACAAATGGATTTTCTCACTTTCCCAGAGAATAAAACATAGATTCAGTTAGAATTTGAACAAAATGTCAAGAACCTTAGAGATCCTTGGAATAAACAAACACATTAAACAATACCGAAGACCATAGTTTTCTAGACTGTAACAATCAGAATAGGACAAAATGCGCAGACACCTGCTGCCACTTACTGGAACAAATCGGTAAGACACGCCTCCGGTACGAATGTAAGCATTCCCTTCCCCTACCTTCAAGTTAAATTCCTCCCACATTTTATTAACCACCCAAACTTCTTTCAAATACTATGACACACAGTGTTACGTTCCAAGAGACACAATATGCATAGATTTAATAAAACAAGAAGCCCACTTATCACCCCTAAGACAAGAGAACAGATTACACCAAATCAGGATGTTTTAATTTTCCCTGAACAGTTCCTTCTGGAAAAGCAATTGGCGCCTGTTTTCACCATGCTAAGAAGTAAGGTTTTGTTGTTGTTTTATTTATTTTGCTTTGTCTTTTGTTGTTGCTTTGTCATTTAGAATATTTTAAACCACAAAAGCCTGTTTAAAGGAAAAGGCAAAGAGCTAAAAAGTTGCGCCTCCAGCCTGTGAGCAACATGGCATCACAACACAGCTAAGGCCGGAAACAGAAGCCAAGTCTTCCCGCCCCTCTCTCTCCAGCTCCCTCCATCCCAAACGCGGCATCATACAGTTCTTGTTGCTTGTTCTTGTTACAGTTGTTGTTCCTCAGACTCCAGCCCCTCTACCTGGAAACAGAAACCTATGGGCTCAGGTGCTATATCCCTGTCTTGGTTACTTTTCTCTCATTGCTGAGACAAAATACCCAACGTCCAAAATGAAGGAAGGAAAGGTTAACTTAGCTTACAGTTTGTGGAGGTTTCAGTCCATACTTGGTTGGCTCCAAGGCAGAAGACAGCAAAGCAACAAGAGCAAAGGGGGGAATGGCAGCCGAACAGCAAACAGCCAGAGCAAACCAGAGGAATAGCGGCAAGCAGCCTCTTTCCCTCCCTTACTTTGTAAACAGGCTACCCCCACCTAAGGGGCTGTAGCTCTCACATACTCTCCCTGCCCTCCTCTTCCACAGGCTCAGGATGTATACAAAGTAAGCACCCTGGCTTCCTGCTGAGTCACTTAGCCAAACCTCTGGACTCCCCAAGTTGACACAATGTATCAACCATAACAATCCCAATGGCCTCCCCTAGAGAAAATGTAACACAAGAAGAAATACAGGCAGCTGTCTGTGCACATGTGTGTGTACATGCACACGTACACACACATACACACACACATACTCTCATACCTCAAAATGGCAATCACGGCAGAAAGTTTTTAAATTAGGGCATTATAACATTAACGGAATACTGTAGGAGTATTAAGCTAAGCACCCAGAATGCAATGAAACAACTAGGAGCCAGAAGAAAAGGCCATGCTGCCCAGGCAGCCGGCGTCCCCGCACTCAGAAGCCCCCTAACTTCGGAGCCCGGGCAGCTATGAGCACTCGCCTTGTAGATGGTGGTTCCCAGCTGTGCCGGGGACATGCTGACCACAACGCCCGCGCTCTGGAGGGCGGCGATCTTCTCCTTCGCTCCGCCCTTTCCTCCAGCGATAATCGCCCCTGCATGACCCATTCTTCTCCCCGGAGGAGCGGTCAGACCAGCAATGAAGGACACTACAGGCTTGGCATTTGGACCCTGGAGAGAAAGTGGTATTTTAAACACTCTGATGAAGAAGTCCATTAAAACTGGACTTCAAATCCAAGACTCCATTGCAAATGTTCCACACATGGTTTGGGCAGATGAAACCACATCAGTCATCCTAAAAAAAAACCACACAAATATTAAACTGTGACTAAAATCACTGCACTCTCCTTCGAGATGTATCCACTTTTCATAAACACTCAGGAAAACAATCCTGAGCAAATTTTTTATATCTACCGAGTGCTAACCACTTTGCTGGCACAAGCTGTTCACAAATACCCATGTGAATCTTTCATTCGAAATACAACAAAGCACACCTGAAAATCTCTATGACTTGTGACAATAACTTAAAATTCAAGGTCGGGTTGTTTTACTTCAACCTGACTTTATGTCTTAATTCATTATTAGTTCTCCCTTAACAAATGAACTAACAGAAAAAGATGAAGTGGGAAGATGTACTGGAAAGGATTCAATCTGCAAGGTCGGAGGCCTCATGCCCTGGCCAAGGCATGACCCTTCTCCAGACCGCTGCCTCCTTACCTATGCAAGGAAATGGCTGCGCTCAACTGGCGGCAAAAGCCCTTTCCAGGCTGAAATCCTATGGTGTCTAAGAAGGAAGATAAGAGTTGATTTTACTCAGGAAATTCCATTCCAATGTGTGGCCGCCAATGTACATAAATACCAAAGAGATTATTTTAAAAACTACTTACAAAATATAAGAATTTCCGTGCCCTGGACTTTAAATGTAGTTGAATAAATAATATGAAACACATTCACAAGTCTGTAGTCAAGAGTCCCATACAGCAATATATGAACGTACAGTTAAGTTTCACCATGAATGATAACGCCACTCTCGTAAGAGCCCAAAAGTAATCCGGGATCCAGGTAAAAAGACAGGCCTGCAGACAGCAGAACTTGGGCACAGTGGAATATTCTCCAGAGCCTTCATCCGGACGCTGCCATCCTTCCCTGGATGAGCACTTCTCAGATCCCTTGCACTTACAAAAAATATTGAGGACTTCAAAGAGCTTTTGTTTATATACACAACAGAAATCCATTCTAATGTAGAAACAGCCATGTACATAAATATCAGTGCACTCTATTTTATATCTAATGATAACTATTAGAAATCAAAACTGAGTTTTGTAAATACCTATTTATTCATTCTTCAGAACAGAGACTGTGGAGAGGGGGAGAGGATATGGGGGGGGATGGAGGGAAAGATAAGGGCTGAGGGGGAAGGGGTAAAAAACGATGAGGATGTAATATGCATACGTACCAACTCCGCTAGATGAATGTAATCATTATGTACCACAAGCATATGATACAAAATAAAACTTATTAAACAGAATTTAAAAATATCTTAGTGAAAACAGTAGCATTATACCTATAATTTTTACAACTCTTGACTCTACCTTAATGTCAAATGATAAATAGCTACTTTTAAATTCAAAATTCAATCTATTGTAATATGTTATTTTAGCTAAAATATAAGAAGAAAATCTGGCCTCACATGAATACAAAATTTTAATATGAAGAAGCATTTCAGTTGCCTTACAGATAACTGTAGATATTCTTTGATACTACACAAATCTGAAGTAGTGATTTCTTACTGTTTCAAGAAATTTCTTAGGTGTTAGGTGCAGTGCTAGGATCTGAAACCATAGCAATGAACTTTTCATCCTTTCTTACTTTGAAATCCACTATTCTGTCTTGCACTTTAAACACCTCTTCTAACCACAATGATTTTGTAATGTGCACTGGTGAACTGGAAAATATCAGTTCATCGAGTTATACAGATCTTCCAAATGCTGCCACATTTCACCACTCAGTGCCAACAGATCACAGGCATCAGAATCATCCATCTCATTTAAAAAAACTTTTTTGTAGAAGGAAGGTGTTCAGCTCACTGTGACAGACACAAGTTTGAAAATTTTAATATTCACTTGAAAGCTCAATTTTTATCATGAGCAACAAACACTATCAGTTGTGTTCCTTGATATAGCACATTTGCCTTGTTCACTTTGAGAGAAGGTTTGTGAAGTACCCAGATCTGAAGGACCAGCTTTTCTGCCAATCATTCTTTCAAGCAAAACTACTGCTCCAGGAAAAAACCCACCACTCAGAAGTGAGGTGTTTCATTTCCCGCTCATCACAAGACACTGACCTGAGGACCAAGATTTAATAAAACTGATAATTCTTATTGCTTCGTTAAAGACAAAAACATTCATAAGTGAAACTGCCTTTGCTGTGAGCATCTGGCAGTGCCCTAGTCCGAGCACAGCGAGCTCCGTGGCGATGTCTCAGGGGTGCTGCACGCTCAAGTGACTTCCAAGGTTCTGGTCACTCCAGCTCCTGTACCTGAATGAGAACACCCTCCACCCTTTCTGCACACCTCACAGGTTTCTACTCAGCTTGTAAGACCTGGCTCCAGCCTCTTCTTCCAAAGCTTTTCCTGATTCTTCTTCCCACACGCTCCACAAATGGTCCTACAGCTAATTATCACTCCGGGAAACTGCTGTGCTTTTCACATGTTCTAATAAGTCTCCCAGGACGGACACTTCTTCCTCTGCCCCTGCAAAGATGCGCACTGCTCCACAGTGTACCGGATAGGACAGGAGCAAACCCACCCTTGTCCTGCACCGTACACCACGACTGGCAAGTTACTAACCTTCCTGCGCCTGTTTCTCATTCCTAAAAGGAGGACAACATCTTATGCAAAGAATCAAGATAAATACTGAACAGCATGACTTTCACAAATAATCGCTGTCATGATGATAACGGCAGCAGTAGCGGTAGGTGACACCTCGGAGGGTCTACTCCGTGCGAGCACTGTGCTAAGTGTTGTATGTGTCAGGTCCTCCTTGCGGCTTCATCCCCCATCTGTGCACATTAGATTCTCAAGAGAAACAAGTTCCACAGGAACGACCAAGAACAAGAACACACGCCAAGGGAAGGAAGGTGCACACTTAGTTTCTCCACTAAATTCAAGGGACTCCGGGTTGGGTCTACATGCATTTTAGTGTTCACTTTAACTGCATGGAGTCATGTTAACTTCAATCTCTTTTTCTATAAAGAGAAGTCAGTTGTTACTTAAATTTACTTAAATTTAAATTTACTTAAATTTACAACTTTCTGAATGCAAGACAATCGAATAACATTTCACTCCAATCTCCTAATCACCTGCTTTATTCTCTCATTTATGTGATACTTTGTTTGTTTGTTTTTGTTTTTCCGATATCGGGAATTGAACTCACGACCTCGCGCTTGCCAGGCAGGCGCTGTGCCGCTGAGCTAATCTCCAGCCCCCTCATTTATCTGATATTCATCAGTACTTCCTGTCCTAGGGACTGGGCTAAGGACCAAGACTGCCCATCTCCTGCCATCCACAACTCGGCCGTCAGACGTGAAGCCCATCTTTCAGAAGGAAGCAAGGCTAAGGCCAATGAGAATGAAAACCGGCCCTTCGGACGGGTCTGCCAAGGACGGGCGGCAGGAGAAGGACTGGGACACCATGATCGCGCGGCCTGCACGCACGCGCAGTGGGAAGCACTGTCTGGGTGTGCCTGTTTCAGAAGGGCAGAGAAGGACAGTGGCCTGGGAGAGAAGGGCGGGGTAGGGAAAGGAGGAGACAGCAGTGAGGACACTGCGGTGGTGCATACGAGGGAAGACCGGGCCCAGACCACAGAGAGGAGTCACTGCAGATGAGGCTCTGGGTCTAGAGAGCCGCTGAGGCCACAGAGCCAGCGCTGAGGGAGTGAGTGGACACACGTGCTGAGACAGAAGGCAGTCAGCTCTGAGGGGCCTGCTCTGGAAACTACCCAAGTATGCTGCTGATTACATCAGGCAATCAGTCCCATTTCAGGAACAGGCACATAAGACAGACCCAGGGGAGGCTAAAGGGGAGGAAAAGTAGAAGGAAAAGTAGGAGGAAAACCACAGGCATTCATGGAGAGGATGAAGAAGGAAGGCCCACCAGGGCCCTCTGTAAAAAAAACGTCAGTAGGGCTAGACTCAACAGCAGCAAACAGCTCAACTACTGCGCGCCGGGATTACTTTCTCACCGTCACTGGCACCTCACAGCCCTTGCAGCATTCTTGGCTTGTGCTGCTGCATTCTCACTTTGCAAATGAAGAAACAAAGACGGCAAGGTCAAAAGAATTCCCAGGGTCACAGAGCTTCTAAAGGACATGCTGAAGCCAGACTGCTGAAAATTGTGGCGTGAAGGACAAACAAGGAAAGTGATCCTGAAGTGAAGGGGAAGTTGGGGCACATCTTACGGCAACGTTAGGCCTTAAGATCACCAAGGAGAACACACACTCAGAGTCCTTGAAAAGTCCTTAGGACACAAATGGGAACTGTTTACGCACACCAATCTCTCAGTGACATTCCTGGTCCCTTTGACCACCAACATCCACTCTTTTTGGTGGCATTTAATTCAGTCACTCCTCATTTTTTTTCATAAGCATGAAGAGAAAGTTATTTCCTTCTGCTTGCCTGGCCTTCTGACGATGATTTGTGCCTCACTCATCTGTCAGAGAAACTCTGGAAATCATTGCATACTTTTCCCCACCGCTCCCAGACGCAACAAAGGCCAGAGAATAGTCACTGAGTGGGGGTGGCGGGCAGAGATCTGCCTCAGTCACCACTGCGCCTCTTTGCTTGCCTACCACCTGCTTCTCCTGAAAATAGAGCTCAGTTCGCTTCACCTAAATGAAATTGTGACACAACTCCACACTACTGGGCTGGGGATGCAGCTCAGTGGCACAAGCGCCTGCCTAGCAAGTGCAAGGTCCTGAGTTCGATTCCTGGTACCAAAAAAAACAACTCCACACTACTTCTTTACACATTTAACTCCAAGACAGAGGTGACACAGAAAGCCTTCACAGTATGCAGGCAGTAAAGCTTTTCTACTTGTTCTTTGACAGGAAAAGCCATTCTATGAGGAAAGACAGATGCTGAAGGGAGGCAAGATCCTGGAAAAGGGGATAAAGGATCTTTAAAAGGATCTTTAGAAGGTCTGACTTGAGGAAGGGAAAGAACACTTATGTCTCCTGCAACCTGAGGAAACAACATCATAAGTTTAAAAAAAAAAAAAAGAAAGAGTCTGGACATCTTGAGTCAGGCAGGGCTCTCAGGCTAATGGCCTGAGCGTTAGCGCTCAGAATGCGACTGTATGTACCATGAAGCACCTGGTGAGGAGACTCAGAGTAGACAAACCGCAGAGGCCTTGTGGGATAGAGGAAGGAGAATCGACCCTGTTATGGTTTGTGTCTGGATGTCCCCCCAAAGCCTCATGCAGTCATGCGGTGCATGAAATAATTATGATTGATTCATGGTCCAGTGTTGGAATTATGGGTGTGAGTGCTACACCCACCCCGGGGCGGGTAGTTTACATACAATGTAAGGGAGGGAAAGAGGCTGCCACTCCTCCCTTGTGTTCTTGTTGTTTTTGCTACTTTCTGCCTCCAATAACAGTTGCCCTCTGCCCTGTGCCACTCTGCCTTGGAGCCAGTCAAGTATGGATTGAAACCTCCACAAACTGTGAGCTAAATAAACCTTTCCTTCCTTAATTTTGGGCGTCAGGTATTTTGTCCCAGCAATGAGAGAAAGGTAACCAAAGCAGACCCTCAAAGCGTCCAGAATTTTCTGAGTGTCCAGTATAGAAAGCCCAGCTAAGAAAAAAGTTCAGTTATCTTTCAAGTTTTCTTGAAAAACTAACCTTTGAAAAAATAAAGGCACCTTCTAAAACAAGAGCCAAAGAGCTACATTTTTCCAAACCCCACTTACGGAATTATGTTGCTTCAAATATTCTGCAGCATTTTCTTCTGCATTGCCACCAATTTCACCAATCAGTATGATGCCTTCTGTGGATGAATCATTCAGAAAGATTTCAAGGCAGTCAATAAAATTTGTTCCATTAAAAGGATCACCTCCAATGCCTGAAAAGGTCAAAGAACACCAACATCAGCTGAAAATGTAAGGATGAACCATGGATAATAGGTTTGGAAATGTTCCAACTGGTTTATTTTGCCTACACATTATCCTTAATCTTTTTAAAGCTATCATCACTCTTCATTTAACATTCAAATATTACAAAAATGCTACATTTACTTTTGTTTGTAGGTATGAATGTAAATGGTGATGGCTTCTTATTTGCAGCAAAAAAAAAAAATTCTTCTTTTTGCTGTGACCCCTCACAACAAACCTCTTCCCTCTCACAAATTATTTGGGATTACCTCTTTTTTAAGTCCACGTTTGCAGTACATAATGTTTATGCCTCTTGTGTGGAGTTGATACATGTCTATGATGCATCTCATTCTTTTTTCATTCCCTCCATCTCTTCATTCCGTTCTCCTTTCAGAACAATCTCACTCTACTTCCTATTATCTATCTTTTATTTTGCTCTTTATTTTTACTCTGCATTCCTCATATAAGAGGAACCATGCAATATTTACACCTACATGTCTGATTTATTTCACTTAACATTACAGTCTCAAGGTGCATCCATTTTCCTACAAATGACTCAAGTTATCTTTCTTTATGGCATAGTAGAAATACCTGTACAAATACCTCATTTTCTTCATCCATTCATCTGCTGATGGGCACAGAGGTTGTTTCTAAATTTAGCTTTTCTGAATTGTGCTGCTATAAACTTTTTACAAATGAGGATTTGTGTTGCAAGCTAATACCACACCATAGGAAAAGATTAAACATTTTGCAACTTTCTTTGCACAAAGAAAAACGTTCTTTGATACAGCGTGCTGCAGAAAAACCACTCATAGGTAGCCCCTCTACCTGCAGATCCAAAGATGACAGAACCTGCATATAGAGGTTCTCAGAAGCACGTGACCCTTAAGAACAAGCCGCTGGATGGGATTAAAGTAAATATTCCTGGTCAGATGGACATAGTGGTGCACACCTGTAATCCCAGCACTCGGGAGGCTGGGGCAAGAGGATCACTGAGTTCAAAGCCAGTCTGGGCTACAGAGTCAGTTCAAGGCCAGCCTGAATTGCACAGCAAGACCCTGCCTCAAAAAGACAAAAAGAAAATGTTCCCTACAGTCTAGCTCTCATTGTTTATTTTTAAATTACAAACTTATTGAGGTCAGGAGTGATTTCTTACTTTTCAATGCCTCTCTGAAAAATGAAGTTGAAGAAGGGAACTAGCATTAATTAAGTGCCAACCACATACCAAATCCTCTGCTTTATTTAGGGTGA